AACATCGCAGTAAGTTTCAGTTTATTGTCATATATGTAAACAGGCTATACCAGTTGCAGTAGGTGGAGGATTTGGTGGCGGAAAAGGTGGGAGTGGTTATGGCGGTGGCGGAGGAGGTTATGGAGGTGGTGGAGGGGGCTATGGCGGTGGAGGCGGAGGGTCAGCTGTTTTAGGACTTCTTGCTGTGCCATTACAACTACAAGGTGGAGGTGGATTTGGTGGGGGAGGATTTGGTGGTGGAAGGGGTGGTGGCGGAGGAGGAGGCAAAGGAGGCGGTTATGGATGGTGGTAAAGTAAGGTAATAACTGAACCTAACTATTTGAAGTCAACTTCATAGAATAAAAAAAACATTAATATTATCCCGCTATTTATAAATCTATAAAATCATGTCATTTTATTTAAATTTAACTATAAACGTACATAAATGTAGCTTCTAAAATAATTTACTTGTCGGAAACAAAGAGAAGAAACTGGATTGATTAATTTTGTCTTTATTTTAACCTAGGTTTCTCTGCTAAAAAGAACTTAGGACAAAAGGAAAGGGACTATCATACATTTACCAACATTTTCGCCCTCTAGTGATGACCTAAAACTGATTTACCTACTCTCAAAAACCTGAAGCAAAGTATTGTCTTCAGACTGACCAAATGATAATAAATTAATTTCATTTTAAACTTTTAAAATAATTTTAATATAAGTGTTTGTTTTGTATTTGAATGAATGGAAATAAATTGTTTATGTAGAATAAAATTAAAAAGTTTGCTTCTTTGTCTAACATAACACACGAACTTACAATGTTACAAACCGGGTTTCGATACCCGTGACGGCCAGAACACAGATAGTCCATTGCGAAGCTTTTTGCTTAATTACAAACCAACCAACAAAATCGTTCAATTATGAAAAATAAATTAATTTTTCCATAAATCTAGTGAACAATTGACGAAAAAAACGAGTAAGTAAATCAATGTTTGATATAATTGTGTTCAACGTTTACACAATGGTTAATACAAGTGGCTGCTATGTAGACGCAGAAATGGCGTTTTGTTTCAGAAATATGGAGTTCTTAAACCACAATTTATTTGTCATTCAAAGTATTTCGAAACAATAAAAAATTACTCTGTCTCAGCTTAACTCTATGAACAAGGAAAATAGATTCAATGAAATATATATAGCGTTATAAGCCCTTATACTTACAGCCGAGCCACCTTGGAGTTAAGTCTGTTTTGATAGTTTGTATTACAATGAACTAGATGGAGCACTGAAATATTTCTTGTTTCAAGGCAAGATTAGAGTAAATTAATTTATGAGACCTTTGTTTCCGTTTTTATTAGCCGTATTTTTATGCGCCAGCAATACTAAGCGTGGGGCGCGCGTATATCCGATTCGATTTTATTACTCATCAAGATCTCTATAAGTCTACCCTCAAATTGAAATTATTTTAGGCAGGATTAGAGTAAATTAATCTATGAGACCTATGGTCAAATATATCAATCGAAATGGTTTGACCTCCTGAGTCAAAAACTATAATTATATCTCAAACTGGTAAAGAGATGACGGAGCTATGAGCTAAAAGTTTGTACTTGAAAAACAAACAAAAGACTCGGAGTCGTTCTATGAACCGCTCAGCTGCTACTAAAATATGCTTCTTCTAAAGAACTTAAGTTTTTTGTTTTCTATTTCAGGAATGTAACCTCACCGAAAGAAGAACTATTCTACGAAGAGTTCTTTATAAATATTTGTTCGTTTGTTAATTAAGCACAAAGCTACAAAATGTACACACCGTGAGTATTGAAACCCGATTTAAAAATATTTAAAGAGCCGAAGTTATTGAGGATTCCCTCCTGTTTTATTTATAATTGCATTGCATCCCGTTCTTTTGTACCTTTGAAATAACTTCTCCTCATTGTTATGTTGCAAAATCATGTAAAGTTTTCACTACTAGTGTATTTTTCACATTTATCTGCTTTCTTAAAACTCACTTCTTTATTTAGTAGAAATTTCAGTACCTTATTGTCTTTTCCCTGCGTATCTTTAACTGTTTTTTTTTCTAAGAGATCAGAAGTACATCCACAGACACAGAAGTTGTATCAGTGCCAGGGAAGCCAATTTATATTATTGAATATATATATCTTACTTTTTCAGAAAAGTTGATTCGTTGAGATCTTAACTCTTACAATTTTGTTTTGTAATTATATTGTCATTAAAACTTATTCGTTAGTTGTATTCAGCAAATAAACAGTTCTCGTAGATTATATAGGGATGAACATCAATAAACAGATAGAGAACTAACGCAAAGTTCTGCACTTTCAGAGCATTTCTAGAAAGTAAGGTTCTGAATGCATTTGCTATTTTCTCATATATTGATTATTTAAAAATTGATTTTAAAGTTCTTTATTTTCGTATCTGTCATTATCTTATCAATTGAATCATGTTATCTTTGTTGTACTAGTTGATCAACACATAATGATATAAACTGTGAACAATTTAACGCTTGGTCTCAAGACGTAAAAATACATTTAAGGACAAATAGTCGAAAAAGAGAGCAGACGTAAATATGAAAGAAACCATCAGAGAATATGAGTTTCATATGGTAACTCCTAATTTCCATTAGGATGATACGATGGTTACGCTTTCAGAAAAAGCGCAAGTTTGGTTGTCAATAACAGGGCTGCTATCGCCAGGTAGTACGTCAGTTGTTTCTGACAGGGATACGTCTGGATCTATTTTGATTATTGATGCCACGTGCGTAGTGAATGTGACTGCAAAGACATCGGAACTTACTAATGCATAGCAATTCACACAGATATTTGTTGAAAAAATTACGCACATCAACATCACACATGACAAGGCTAGAATTATCTTCACTCATTACGTTAATCGATCTCTTAAAGAAACAACTCACACCCAGAGAACAAGAAAAACGAATGCTATTCATTTGCACACGAATTACAACACCCGAATAAAATCAGCGAAATAATTTCTTGCTCACATTAAAACAAAGTCAGAACTGATTAAACATCTCAGCTAGAAAATATTGGACCATTACAAAGAAAGGACTTCTCGAGTTCTCTTTGCACATCGTACTTATATCAAGGCTAACTGCCAACTGTCCGATATTGTGTAAATGTCAAAAATGCTAAATGGTAGACATTCTCTAGAAGAGGGTGGTCATATTGTTCTCCTTCACGCATTCGATGTTATGCACAAAGATCTTGATAGATGGCTTGATGTGTTCTCTGTAGATACAGGCGTATTTCTTTTACTAACAGGGCACTTGTCACGACTGCCTGATTCAATCATTGTTATCAGAAAGTCAAGTCAGAGAATGAAGATTAAGGACAGCTATGATAAATCTGGTAAGAAGAAGGAAGAGGCTCTTATAAGCTTATATGCATTCAAAGGCACTGACAGTAGAGATTCATTTTCTTCGAAAGGCATTTGCAGTCTTACTCAAACCTTTCGTGATTGTGACAATGCTATCTTGAATGGATTTGAAAATTTGTACAGTTTGAAAGAATTAAGATAGATTTTGTTTTCCAAAGGTAAAGAAGGACGGCAGTGACTTCAAATGATGTTTCCTTATATATGAAGGGCATATTACATGGCACATGTTTGGAAAGCTTCCACGACGCCTTACCTTTCACTGTCGCCAGTAACTGATTTTCACTAGCAACTCTGAGCTACTTAAACCGCCCATCGCGAAAAGTAATTCTTGAACACTTCAGTCAAGCTAAAAGCTGCTCAACAATAAAATACAGTAAATCTACATTTTCATTCTTTAAGTTACGTCACATTTTGAAATGTGAATGAAAGTGTGATTAATTCCTAAGAATTTAGTTTAGAATATCCTGCTTGCGAAATAAAATTTGGCGTTATTCATGCCTGTCCTACCGTAATTTCAAAAGTAAGTGTTGAGCTTTGCAAACAGTGTGTGAGAAGATGAAACTAGATTCACAGAGTTTATTCTTTACTGATTAGCCACTGATAATCACACCAGTTGTTTTCATAATGTCCATACTAAGTTCAGAGGCAGTGGACTGACAGCATACCATAGTTGACCCACCACGACCTTCCCATTGCGGAATTTATTACATCAATATAAGCTGCATACTTTTCTAATTTTCGAAAAGGTGTAGTTTGTCCTTTAAGATACATAAATAGATATCTATGAATTTGAGATTAGAACAAGAGAAAGTTTTAGAATAGTTACACACACATTGAAAAAAACGTACATAAACACGAGAGCATATTGTTGATGTTGATAGAATAATATTCCTGACGAGAAATCAATAAATCTATGTTTAAAAGTTGTACACGTTTATAGATACTTCAGTGTGTATTAAGTAATGACGTTCTTTATATAGCTTATCACTTTTAATTCCACAACACAGCATGTATCTTTGATAATAATATAGCAGGTAACATTAAGGAATTTGGTTAGGTGTTTTTCAGCATACATTGACCGTGATGTTTACCAGACAAGATTTGTTATGTGACATGTAAGTAAAGTTTTATATGACAAATGGACGGAGCATAGCGATCTAGTAATAAGTGGAAAATGAAGCGAGGCAAGAAAATATTTTTCTAAACAATTTTTTGCACCCCTTCCTGGTTAGGCGTGTATGAATATTATTTGTAAGAAGAAACAGAATTATACATATATTACTGGCAAAAAGAAACGATAATATATATCACTAACATGCCAATAAAAGCAATAAAATTATTTTCTAAAACATGTAGAATTAGCATTTTCATTGATAATAATTTATTCACTAACTATTTTGTTATAGCTCACTTACTAATAAACGTGGATCTTGAAACAATTACATCTTGTTATTTGAATGTAATATTATAATTTCAAGTCCATTAGGCTCAAATTATAAATTTAAATATTTTTCACATTCCGATGTTATAACGACAACAGAATATTCGAATCAAATACTGAACAAATTATCTTAATTGACGACTCGCAATCTGTGGGTCTCGGGTTCGAATCCTCGTGACACCAAACATTCTCGCCCTTTCAGCGTGAGGGCATTATAATGTGACGGTCTATCACACTATTCGTTGGTAAAAAAGTAGCCCAAGAGTTGGCGGTGGGTGGTGATGACTAGCTGCCTTCCCTCTAGTCTTACACTGCTAAATTAGGGACGGCTAGCGCAGGTAGCCCTCGTGTAGCTTTGCGCGTTATTCAAAACAAACAAACTATTTAAAAAAACGTTTAGTTTATGACTATGAACAACTTAAAGTAAAAACACAAACACAATAAGAAACTGTAGTAGTTATTTATCTTTCTCCTTCAAACGTAAAGGAAATCGAATGTTGAGATTTTTAAAATGCTTAAAGTGTTAAATACAAGTCTAACTACGAAATCAACTTCCTTACTATCTTTAACCTATCTATTTATTTCAAGCTAAACCGGTTTACCGTAAAACATAAACAATAAATTATTGAGGGACTACAGTACTTATTAGCTTGGGTGAGACAGTCATGAATAAGTGGCATACATTCATATATATATATATATATATATATACTGATAATACTACATTCGGACATTTTTTGTTAATTAGAAATATAATAAAATACGTCAGTGGATTCTAATAAAGGTAATCATGTTTTAACAATAAGATGATTACAATGATCAAGCACTAAGAAACAATATTTAATCAGCAACAACAACAAGAAGAGCTAGTGACGTGAGTTGTGTGAAGTGTTTCCACAAGTAACATATGTCTGACGTGTTCAAGCGGCTCAGTTCATTCTCTACAACAATGAGGAAAACGAGGCTTTGAGCAGAGCATCGACTTCACGCTCTGTCAAGTTTTTATTATGTCATTAATTAGATCTTCTCACGGAAAGAATGAAAAAAGTGTTTTCTGGTGGATATATAAGAGGAAGAGTTGAAGAGCAAACCTCACAAGCACATCAGTCTCCAGATTCACTCAGCAGAATTTGAAACTGTACACAAGATGAAGAATAGGGTAAGTAGAATATCATACAGTTTAATCAGGTTTTAAATCAGATGAACGAATAGTGTATGGTAATATAAAATTAACTATAACACATTGTAGCCATATTGATTTCATGGCGAGCTCCGAGACTATAGGAGAAGGTTATGTTTTTCGTGAATTAACTAAACTATTTTCGTGTAATGCTGTTTCCATCTTCTAATTAGGAAGAAACTGGTTATTTATATCTTTATTAGCTGTTCGTAATTTATAGTTCGAAAATAAAAAAGATATGGTTTGTTACAGTACCATTAACCATTTACATGAGATGGTTAGAATTATATGTAATATTAACTTTATTAAACTGACTTCAGTAATACCTTATCAATCCATTAATAGTTTCTTCACTTAGAACATTATATTCTGGACAATTGGTAACAAATGTCGTTAT